CTCTACCAAAGGCCTGATCGAAAGGTAGTATTCTAAACCAATCAAAGCGTGTCATGAAAGAACCGAATAAAATAAGGATTTGTGGGATATCAAAGTAGAGCAATACGACAGTCTCAATATGAGTTTCGCTGCAAAATACTACCTTTGAGACAGACATTTCTTAGAAATCTTCCAAGATTACAAAGTTGACTCAAAATTTCTGAAAACAAAAAGATACTAAAATGTAATCTAATTTTAATTAGATTGACTGGATATTATTATATATCTATTGAGATAGTGATACATACGTTCTGGACATTATACATCTATTGAAATAGAGATACATACCTTCTAAACATTATACATCTATTGAGATAGTGATACATACCTTTTAGACATTATACATCTATTGAGATAGTGATAAATACCTTCTAGACATTATACATCTATTGAGATAGTGATACATACCTTCTAGACATTATACATCTATTGAGATAGTGATAAATACCTTCTAGACATTATACATCTACTGAGATAGAAATACATACCTTCTAGACATTATACATCTATTGAGATAGAGATACAGACCTTCTAGACATTATACATCGATTGAGATAGAGATACATACCTTCTGTACATTATACATCTATTGAGATAGAGATACATACCTTCTAGACATTATACATCTATTGTGATAGAGATACACACCTTCTAGACATTATACATCGATTGAGATAGAGATACATACCTTCTAGACATTATACATCTATTGAGATAGAGATACATACCTTCTGTACATTATACATCTATTGAGATAGAGATACATACCTTCTAGACATTATAATCTATTGAGATAGAGATACATATCTTCTAGACATTATACATCTATTGAGATAGTGATACATACCTTCTAGACATTATACATCTATTGAAATAAAGATACATACCTTCTAGACATTATACATCTATTGAAATTGAGATACATACCTTCTGGACATTATACATCTATTGAGATAGTGATACATACCTTCTAGACATTATACATCTATTGAGATAGAGATAAATACCTTCTAAACATTATACGTCTATTGAAATAGAGATATTTCTTGAAAAGATTTTACCAATAAGAGAGATACATACCTTTTGGACATAATGCATGGTAAAAATAAAAACCACTTGAGCTATTAAACATAGCGATCAACACAAACATCGACACCATCGAAACATAAACTTTGAAAGAACCCATTTAGTCAGATTTTCAATTGAATTGACACAAGATTTCCATGTAACAGTATTTATAGTTATTTAGTGCTACACCTGCATAACAGTTGTTAATCTTATTCCTTTCCATTTTAACAGAAAAGAGAAAATAAGTTTATGCGCTGAATTTTTTTCTATTAAGATCAGAACATCTGGCATCTGGAGCTTTTTCACACCTGAAATAGAAAATCATATTATACAGTTTTTTTCACGAGTGGTAAACATAGAACCAACTAGTATAGTTAGTATAACATCTGACATCTGGAGCTTCTTTACACCTGAACTAGAAAACAACAAATCATTAAATACAGTACTTTCATATAGTAAAGGAGTCCAGATATCATCAAGATACCGACTACAAAAGTTTCGACAACTAGGTTGAACACTTAAAGCACCGTTGTAGATCTTTATGCCGGGAATAAGATCATTAGGTTAATTATTCATTCTCGGATACCGTTATTATCCAAAATAAAAAAAGGTGAAAAAGGGATACCCTTTTGACCCCAATGGCTCTTTAAAGGTTCATTCTCAAATACCTTTATTATGCAAAATAAAAAAGGTGAAAAAGGGATACCCTTTTGACCCCAATGGCTATTTAAGGGTTCATTCTAGAATACCGTTATTATGCAAAATAAAAGATAGTGGACCACAGCCATATACGCCCGCCACGGCATGCGGATGGTAAATTGCAAGTGCAATAACGGTCGAAAAAAGCTCAAATTTAAACTTGATCTTCGTTTTATGAATATGTATACACC